TAGGGACTTCTGCTTTCAAGCTAATTTCAGGTAATTTGGTTTAATTTACTAGTAAGCCCCTTAGTACGCCGCCTGCTTGCCTTCTTTGAAGGTTAACAAGCCACTTAATAATACAAGACTTAAGTACTTCTGACCACTTACGTTTCGTTGTTTTACTGGGGGTTTTAGCCTACAACAGATCCTGGTTCAGGAATTAGCCTCTACTTTAAGCTGTTTTTTTTATATTTGGCTGAGAAGGCTTATACTTTACCCTTCAAATGACTAAGATAATTATAAATGCTTGGAAGTAACACGATTAAGGGTAGCCAACTACTTTAAACTACAAAATAGAACTAGATAACTTGCTAAAATGATAGAGCGAGAAGGGAGAGAGGATCTTAATAAAATGAAACAATAATATTATTAAAATAACACATTATAATTGAACAACTCTCCATTCTATTGTAGAATAGGAGTAAAGTTCTCTAAAAGTACACTATTATGTATAGTGCTATTGGCGAGTGTATACTTTATAGGAGAGTGAACACCGTAACGAAGGTATCTTAATACGGCGTTAGAATGTTGCTAAGATTAGTCAAGTAAAGTAAGTTTAAGCTCAAGGTAACTTGGAGAATATAAATAATATACAGCTCTGGTTAGCAACCCTATTATGCCCTTAATAATTAAGCTCTTCAAAAATGGTAAAAGTGCTGTAACTTGGTAACAACGGCTAAGTCAGGTTAAGTACTTTGTCCAGCGCTCTGTACGGCCCTATCGAGTGCATTAGCACACGGGTTGAGCTAACTAACTAACTTTGCTAACAAGTGATTCGTAAATAACACTATAAATACTTTTTATCGGTTCTACTAAACTTGTTGAAATTTAGTGTAATATATGATGGGTTTGGAGCTCTAATCAGTAAATTCTGGTTTATCTATGTAATAAAATTGAAGTAGTTGGCTTATATGAATCAATCTTAGCTAAAAATGCACTTATTTACTATGAAGGTATCACTAATAGCAGAGAAAGTGATAACTAGGGAGAATAACATCGATACAACCGTGTGTCCTTTTTCTAAGTAGGGACCTATGCGTGCTCTACCAGCTTACAACCATGCATAATGTACAAAGTATAAAACTTTACAAATATGACTTTAGTTTGGATAACCTTCAAGTAATGATGTAGTAAGCTAAGATGGCTTGCCGAACAAGGAGATTACGTTTTATTGTTGAAAGGAAAAAAGAGCTCCATTTAGCGGTTAATCTTGAAACCTTTTAACAAATCAAAAGAAGAGGGCTTTACTTTTACTATCTAGAGCACGACAAGCATAATAACTATAATTCTATGTAAAGTAGTATAACCTAATTGATTGAGATTCTAAGGGTTACTTCACTAGCTTGAAACTGATTAAGTCATATTAGTGACTTGTCTTCCTTTCTCATTGGGTATGATACTGTTTTTTCCTCTAAAGGGGCTATTTTCAATAATGAAGGGCTCCAAAAAACCCTCTATAAAAAAGTAGAAACTTATTTTCTCTTTCGATGCTTGCACAAGACTCTGCATGCTGCCGTGGCTCTAGCTGCGGCCACAGCGATCCAGGCTAGTATTAGGCCAAGATTTAAAGTTGGGTACATTATACCTCATCTGTGTAGGATGATGCTACAAATAGTGGCATTTATATATCTTTCGTGCATTTGACCGTTAGCTATTCTTGATGCTTTCGCAGGGTCAACTATATTCTTTGATTATGCGAGGATTGCTTTTTGTCCCTAAACCATTATCGTACAAGTGCTTATAACAGACAAACCTAGATATAAAACCCAGCAGTTCTGCTGTAAGGTAGTTCCTGCCGAACTGCTTGAGTCCTCATCCATTTGAGAGATCCTTTAAGATGGGATGTCTACCCTAGGGTTGATTTAACATGGATTGTAGTTAGCTGTCAACTTCCTTCTACTATCCTTGTCATCCTTTGACTTTAGCTGAAATGATACGGCAAGTTTTAGTTAACACTTTTTGAGCTTTTAAAGAAATGGTTACCAAACAAGTATCGTAATTATATTTACCTTTCCATGTTTTAAAGTTATTAAACTCCTTGTTGACCTAGAGGGCTTTAAAGTTAGATTCAACGCAAGGTTCGAAAGAAGTGCTCTTAAAAATGGTAAACTCTTTTACGTAGACGACAGACCTGAAGAAGGTTCTAGATTACATTTGATCTGGAAAGGTTAGATTAATGTTTCAAGTGTAATACCCTTATCGAGAGATCTGCCTAGAATGGATCGTCTGTTGCAACGATCTCATTTGGCTCATTAACCTTGCTGCTGTTGGTATATTACTGTACTGCCTGCTCTTGCTTCTCGCTTCTTTCTACCTGGGGCCTACGTTCTAAGAATACAGAATACTTAACAGAGGTGAATAGGTTCGGCCGAAAGCTATGATTATCCTCGATTTTTGAAATAAGTAGTACGTAAATAGCATTAGAGGTATTTTAATCAAGGTGCTAACCTACTAGTTGTGAACTGGTTGTTACATGAGTACTTGATGCCATTATGCTAGTATTGCATCTTCCATCCTAGTGAGGGATGCTCTTTGAGTTTTTAGATTTGGCTCATTTTAGGCAATTCAAACAGAGTATTTAGAGAGTTCGTTGTGACAGACAAAACAGTGCTTGCTTCTTATAAGAGATAGCGCTCTGGTGTTGTAGTATATATGAAGTACTTATACAGTAGTGTTATTTACTAGTATATATATATATATATCCGGGCCTTTCTGCCGGTCTCCAGCCCTTCTATCCCATCTATCGTGTTCTAAATCCTAATTTCTGGCATCCTCCCAGTCAACATTGACTTCCCTTGGTCAGTATGCTGATGACTCTGTAATTTTTATACTATTTCCAAAGCAAGCCCTTTGGCTATATAAATTATGCGATAATCCTGAAACCTCCCCGAAATTGGTTCACATCTAGTAAACTTTAAACGTAATTCGAGGGGATGCAAGGCTTTACTTGTCCCGTGTAACATCGCCCGGTGAGCAAATTACGAATATTTGTTAATTCTTTGGTGCACGCAAGCTAAGTATTTCGACGTTATGTTGTTTGCAAGTTCTGGTGGAGCGCTCACTAAGAATATAAAATTTAGAACTTAGGGGTGGTTAATGCCCTCTACTATGCAAAAAGTGCAAGTTTAACTTTTGTAATAAATTACTCTTCATAAATATTATACTCAAATAATGTTTTTTACGCTTAGATAAATTCTTCCCCAAGACACTTAAATAGACTGTCAATCCTGCAAAATAATTTTCTTAGACTGTACATTAAAGAGCGAGTCAGTACTTACCTAACAAATTACTGACTATGAATATCTACCTTTTATGGTATACCAAATTGCAAAGGCTTAAACGCCTGTTGTACTTACCTATTTACTCTGGCAAACTGTATACTTGTGCTTATGTTTTCCCTTCTTCTTTCTTTTATACCACTACTAATAAAATAATTAGAGATAATTGCAGTAAAAATTACAATAGCTGTAAGCCAAAGATCTAAGCACCTATTAGGGATATTTGAATTATACTTCCTAGTCCTCCTCTTACTACTATTACTATTTATAATAATATTATAGTAAATTTAGTAAATTGTATGATAATATTAACATAAATAAAAAATTATATCTATATTTTCATATTTAATATGATTTTTAAATAATTCATAAAAATATTTCTATTAACAAGTGCTATATACAAGCTTATTCTAAAAGGTTAATTTTTCCTTCTTAAGTACAATCGGGCCTTTTTTGAGATAAAAAAAAAAGGATATAGGAGTAAAAAGAGCGTATACCTGAGTTGTAGCGCGTCAGCACTAATGAATAAGTAGAGGTAGTAAGAGTACTTATAAGTTAGCTAGGTCTTAAAAACTTTTAAGACCTGTTTAAAAAGTTGGTTTAAATGGATACACAACTGAGCCTTCTTTGCAAACAAAATTAATAACAAGAATGAAGTTTTTAAACGTAAAGTAGAGGTGCTAAAGAAGGATGCTTGGCCCCAAACGGTCCTAGCTTACAAAAATCTTTAAGCCTAACATACTTTTAGACAAGTATTGTTATCAGCAATGGTAAGAGTGAATAAATATAGATGAACTAAATTCTATTTTTGCGACTATATTTACATGTGAGTAAAGAATCCAAAATTCAAAACTACATAGTGAATTGCACTACATGATAATATTCATAAAAAAAGGAGGATCCGGGGTAAGGGGACAATAGGGTAGGTCAAACCTATTTGTAAATAAAATATTGCTAAAAAGGCGAAAATGAAAAGTCACTGGGTGAATTAGTATGCCTTGAACCTAAAGCGTTTTTTATATTTTTTGACACTTGAAGCCCCTCTCCCCTTTTAATAAAAATTTGTATTTAGATTATAATATTGCTTTTTTTTATCTTTTGATACTTTGTTAAAATGACAAAAAGCTGAAGTTAAAGAAGGTAGCAACTTTCTTCAAAAAATAATTAAAAAAAAACAGAGTATAGCATATATTCCTTCCTTTTGATAGCAGTTGCAATATTGCCCCTAGTTATGGTTAAATAAACGATAGACCACGCTAAACACAGCGAAGGAGGAAACTTATAGTAAGTTGGAAGTTAGCAGGTTATATACTACGGGTTTAATAACTTCTTACAGTCTGATAACCCCACAAAAGTGGACCAAAACGAAAAAACTATAAAGTTGAAAGAAGTCACTCCATAGGAGGAATATGGACTATGCAACCTATAGAATTGTGAACCACCCGACGAACTATAATATAACGAGCCCATGCAGCAGCCGCACCTCTAACATAAAGTTTGCCACAAGTGTTAAGTAATACAAGGGTATATAGAGAGATTTCCAGGCTTAAAGTAGTTTTTAATAGCGTCTCACGCAGTGAACTAAAACCTATTAAAACTACATATTTACTAAACTAGAAGAACCAATGAAGCCTATAGGAGTCAATATGTAATAAGAATGCGCTATATATTAACAGCATAAATATAAAGTAGAGAAGATGGCGCCTTCCTATTTTATAATAAATGGAATTAGTATGCATGGTCTCAGATCTTTAACACGAAAAAACGCGTAGCTGGTGTATGAAAAAAACTTATACGTATAGACTCCTAACTATTCCTCGCCCTCATCAGAAATCTCAAAGCCCATCTAATAAAAAATAACTCCATATAAGGAGCGTGCGCTAAAGCGAACACGGGCAGCAACAGAACCTCCTGCTTTAGCTCCTCATCCCGTTTGTCCAAAAGGCCCTCCTTGGAGAGCAGTGCGGGAGCTCCTGGCGTTTCCGGCCTCGAAACAAAATCCAGGGAAGGAAGTGGCCCCATAAGTTGGTTATATGACTGTGCCAGCACCCTTTAACAGAGAATTGTCCTTAAGAGTTAGCCAAAAAGGAAAAAAATAGTCAACTACGTAAGCTGGCTCTTAATCAGCGCTTTGCTCGAAGAAGAAAGAGATTTCTTTTCGGCTTCCAGTTTTTGAAGAAGTTTCTGTTGCTGTTCAAGGTTCTCGGAAAGCAGAGCCTCTTTTCGCTTATGCATTTCTGTTACAAAACTCAAATCACTTTTTAAGTCAAAAATTTAAAGTAAAAAGAAACCTAAAATTTGTTTATTTCTTTCGATTTTAAGGCCCCGTTTAGCATATTTTTGATTATTAAATCTAATAGAGCCCTTAAAAATGTGATAACGGAGCTTTCCAGGTTACAAAATACTGTGTGAAACCTTATGATATAGGTCAATAGCCGTCAACAACTGCTTTTTTTTATGTCTGTCAGTCAACTCTTCCTTCGTTACAGGAGCAAAGAAAACCTGAAATGCCACACATCACTTAAGTAAAACGCATAAAAAGATTCCTTTGTTTTTGCCTTAATAAATCGGTTGTTCAACACGGGATCTGCACAAGCGTGAGCAGCCGCAGCCTCGTTTTCATTAGAAAAAGTGACCTTGGCAACTTGTAAATGGTTTCCATAACAACATTGAATATTCGTGATGGTTCCAAAGTTTTTAAAGTGATCAAATAAATTTTCTACCGTGTTTAGAAAAGGTGGGATCTAAATAATAAGTCCTAAGTTAAATAATACTATGAAAAAAAATTAAAAAAACCTTCACCACTTCCAGGCTCAACACAGAGCGGGGGGAATTTGTGTCTCGTTTATAAGGTGCGATTACCGGCTTTTCTTTATTGAATTGATCCAGTGAACTTTTATGCCGTACAAGATTCCTTCTGCCTATTAAGTAAAATATAAGCTTTCAGAGCAACTAACCAAAAGAGTACTCTTAGTAAAGGGCCGTGATAGTACCATAGCAGCTATCAGAAAAAGACCTCTTATTCCCTCTCACACGTGCCCGTGCCTTAGAGTAGCTCCCATAATAATCCTTCCCTTCGTTGCGATAATTTTCATATATACTGCTGGTGTATCGCCGAGTATTATACGTGTCTAAAGCGCTATGACTGGGATTTAACTTCCTAAAGGGCGTTATGGTGTTCATTGTAACGCTTTGTATTCTTTTTCCAGCTTTAGAAGAGTTAGAGATAAGCTGACCGCCGCCATCTTGCTCTAGTAATTCACTTTTAAAAGAAGAATAGACATCTGTGGAGGGTTTTAAGTCTTTAACAGATATTATGTTATTTTCATTTTCTCCTATATACAATTCAGAGTTAACTTTTAGTTGTTCGTCCCAAAGTTTGCTTACAAACTTTTCGGTGTCTATATTGAAAATCAAATAAGTTTCATAACATGATAAAAATTTTTAATAAAAAATTAGAAAACTAAAATCATATAAAAACCAAATGAAAGGAAAACTTTCAACTCTGCCTTGCAGACATCCCTAATACTACTTTCATCGGTTTGTTGTATAAGGGCCACTGTATAACTACAAAGTCCATCTGGATCCGGGACACTATGAACAACAGTTGGAAAAGAGTAAAGAAAAAATAGCTACTATGACTAAAAAAGTGTTATGGATTTAGCAAATATTCTAAATGAAACTAGCAGCAGTTAAAATACCCATAATTGCGAAAATAGTCCAGAAGCCAGTGAGTGAGAGCCCCGGTGTCTTCAACTAGCATGACGTCCTTTAAGTGCAAAGCCGGTCTAGTGAAAGGCCGCAGACCAAGTCAATTTTAAAAGCTTAAAATAGCCCATGGCTTTGCCGCCGCAGTCAGTTTTAGTAGAGGGTTGGTCTACGTGAAGGTCAATACTTATTGTGCAGAAAGCAAGCACTTGTTTAAGCTTCAAGCCTCATTGTGTTCCTCTACTAGTGAGGCACTCAACGAGTGATTAATTAAAAAAAAAGTTCCATAATTTTAAAAAGGTAAAATTTTTTCTTGACAGACATATACCATTTAATTATGTCGTGACTTTCATATGGTGAAATATGCTTTAGAATTTTGTTTTATTTGTTTGAGATTGGACACTTTTTTTCCAAAAACTAAGATGATATGACGCCTGAATAGTTATCTGTTGCTACCTTTGCAAAGCTAAAGGTCTTTTTTGAGCCTTCTAAATTTTTTTTAAGAAGCAAAGGTTACATCTATAGAAATAAGCCTAAAAAATTATTTATATAAAAACATATATGTCGTAAAATAACTTGGGTTTTTAAGCCCCAGCTTATTTAATTCGCTCCTACACCATTAGTGTTACTATGGCTCTTTAATGTTAAAGTTCAAAACTCGCAAAAATATAGTATTAATGAAAATATAGATACTAACAGTATACAATACTGGTGGAATTATAGCCTTTTTTGCAGGGTACACGAGACAACAGGGCACACGTGTGACTGTCCTATATCGTAATATTATCTTAAGATAGCAAGCGCCCACTATGAAACTCTTTAAAAGCTGAGGATAGATATAAGTAGAAAGAAAAAGTAAATAATGCATACTAATAAGAGCTTAGACAAGAGTAAAGTTAGACCAGAACTACATCAAGTTGTATACAATATGTATTGATTCAGTAGGCGAAGGGAGTAGGTTATATGCTACAAATGTAATGTATCCCAGTGTTAAATGCTTCTTCCTTATAAGCTTATCTGGTTGCATATTTGTTGTTTGCTGTATTTACCCTGTATTTAAGGTGGTCCTTTTGCCTTCTAGAACCTTAAATTTGTCACTTTTTTTTTAATTATATGGCTTTTCCCTGTTCTAACTTCTGATTGCAGTTTTCAGTTTTTCAAGTCCTAATTAAATCCATCCTTATTGAAGCCCTCAACTTTTAATTTTCTAAGTACTCTTGTTTCTTTTTTTCCGAGTTTTTTTGTTGTGAGACTCTCTTTGTAACACAGAAGAGGATAAACATTTAACTAAGAGCTTGAAACAAAAATATCGCTTACAAGAACCAAGAGAGATGTGCTTCTTCTTTGAAGGAGTATAAAGACCGAAGAAGAGGTGATGAACCGCTTTAAATTACCACTAGGAAGATGCCCCAACACTTAGACCTTAAATCCCCTTGTTCCTGCTATTCAGCTTCCCACATAGGCAGCCTTTTTCTGGCCAAACAGTGGACGCATGAGCCATAATGGGGTGCACGCAATTTTGCTTATACGCAGTTTGTTGTGCAAAGACAGCACGCTTTTCGCGTACAGCGATGGTACGAGTGCGAAGTTTACCGCTTCGACTTTTATCGCACTTCTTCGCGTGTTAACACCCTTTGAATTAATTAAATAATAAAGCCCGATAATTTGACAGGGAGCCCTATGAATCTTAACACCTGCAGTGGTAATGGCGGAGTAGCGCAGGGTATTTTCGTGAAATGAAAGGTGCACTACTTTTCTCTGCATCCTTGGTTACTTTCCACCCTGATGCCGGTACTACTTAGCTAATGTTTCTAAGTAGCGTTGTAGACGTTGCAATGGTGATGTAGGATTTCTAGAGGACGCATACATTGCAATGTCATTAACGTAGAGTGCGACGTAAGATGGATTCGCAAAAACTGAACTGCTTCGCTTAGACAGTGCGAAAAGCAGTAGGGATAGCAGAAAGCTTTATGGAACACCGGCCGTCAGTCAATATGACGAGGGCTCAGTACTAATTTTCAGTAAAAACGTGACCCTTTAAAAAAAGGACGCAATTCTGTAATAATCTAAGTGAAGTTAAAAAAATATTTATTAGAATAATTTCATTTATTCATTAATTGTACATTTCATTTCATCACCATTTTACTTTCTAATTTAATTTCTGGTTTATCGCGTAGTGTAATCCATATATTTACCAGCTATTAATTAAATTGAACTGTCACCTTTTCCTATAAACCGTAGCTGTTTCTGAGCTATAGTTGATTTAATCTTTAATTAATCGAATTTTTGAGGTCGTTCGAAACTAAGAAATCCTTAGACGATCAATATACCCAGATAAAACGACGTAAAGTGGTAATCAACACCCTCGAGATAAAATTCGGAAGTTATCTCTTGTAGTCTACGTTTAGCTGTGTTTAGCGTGCACAGCGCATGTTCTTCCATGGAGCCAAGGCTATAATATAAAGAGCTAGCTAGCGAGGCAATAGCTTAAAATTGTTTTAGTAGCTAGATAGGGTGTTGAAATCTCAAAGATTTCGAGCAGGATTCTTATGATACCATCCTAATGCTTTGGACTTAATCGTGGTTAGAACCACAACATTAACTAGAATTAGCGGACAGTAGTGAAATATCTGTCTACTTAGGTTAATAATATATCAAGTATAGTATCAATATATAAAAGATATGAGTGAATAATACTATATAAGTTCCCGCGTTGTCTTTTATAAGAAGTGTAAAATTGTCTATCGTTAAACAGCCTTAGCAAAATTCATTTTGGGAGTCTAGAATCTTGATAGTTTTGCCCACCTCCAAAAGTAGGCTGCAAAGGTAATACGCAAAGTTTGCCAAGCAGTCTAATTATGTAACCACCGCCTAGGTGTTCCCAGCGAATTACCTGGGGTCTTCATTTATAATAGCCCCTCGTGGCGGCCGTAAGTAATATTGCGAAGAAGGTCAATGCGGAGATTCAACATCTATACTCTAACTTTGTATTAAAAGCAAACTCTCTTTGCACAACAAGCCAAGCTACGTGTTTTGTATTCATCCAATAATGACATACCTGTCTACTGCCTGGGCCTGCAACTCACCGGCCACAGCCTTTTCGCTTCAAGTGAGACAAGACAATTTGCTCGCCTTTTGACAGGCGCACTGTAGTTTGTAGGTCTCGATGCTCTACATTTCGGATAGAGCTTCTGGCTACCATTTTTCGACGCAATGCTAATAACGCTTATGAACGACTTAATGAGAACACCATTCGATTACTGACAGATGAGCTCAGTTACGAAATATGGATGGCGCAGGCTAACGCCGACCACGCAATGGACTTCAACGTTATAATAGAAGTTAGGGCTAGAATTAAAAAGGTATTTATACATAACATTGCTTTAACACAAGCTAAAACCTAATTTGTACGCTGTTACTATGTTTAGAGCTTGTGAATTTGGTGTTTTTAGACTTAATCGAGCACCTAAAAATAATAACATAAAACAGAGAAGTAGAGAACAACAGAACAAACAGGATTGAGAACTAAATTAGTATCCAGTTATAAGGAGGAATAAATAAATACAACTCAGGTTACTTCTAAAGCCTTCTATAAGAATTTTAAGGGTGTAGTTAAATACTTAGGCGAACCCACAACCTCGAGTTCGCGCATCAATGCTCTTAACCGGTGAGCTACTGGCAACACTCTTAATTTCGGTAGAAGAATTCACGTTTTAACCTTTGATGTTCGAGCTAGCATTTATACATGCAAAAGCCACCTATAATCAAAGTGCCTGTGGCGGCGTGAGAAGGTCGCAGAAAAGAGTTAAGACAGTACTACAGGCGGACACTTATGTGTTAAGGTTTCTAAGCATCTTTTAAAAACCAATTAATAAACAAGGGTATTTTACATTTTTTGTTAATTCTAGCTATACATGCGCGGAGTCAAAGTTAACATGGAGCGCCTATAACTAGGATATTATATAAGAGAGGAAAGTAGATTTATTGCTTGGGGCAAGAGAAGCTGTTTGCACGCCTATTCCCTCTAACTAAAAGCAACTCTACGTGAACCATATATAATTTTACTGCTCGCTTGTAAGCTTTATTAAACATTTTAATTGTCTAAGCCGTACTCACCTCTTTCTTTGAAGTGAAGCTCAAGTAGACACTGTGCACAATCCACGAGCTCGCCTTACGCGCTGGTGGTCGTCAAATTCATAGCTTCTATTCTTTCATTCGTTCATATCTTTATAATATGTTTTACAATTTCGCTAAGCTTACAAAATTGCCGTTTTTTTTTTCCAGTAGCCATCGGTTTAAAAAAAGAAACATCATCATATCGTGCAGAGTGTTAATATCTTATTGCTTGACACTCATTTGCGATTTCAAAGCCTGCAACTCTTAAAAAAAAACTTAAATGTTAGTTCTTCTTTGTTCTTGCACATTTCTTCTATCATCTTTAGCTGTTGCAAACAAAAGTCGCCCAGCGTTTCCTTAGAGTAGCCCTTGCATTCGACATCTCCACTTTTCTTGTAACCGAGTTGCTTAAAAAACTTCTCCTCTTAACCGAGTGGTTCTTGAGTGTTAAAAACTTGTGTTTTTCAATTAATGAATAATTTATAAAACATGGAAACTGGTGAGATAACAAAAAATCTAACAAAAGCCTTCTAATATGAAACGAATGACTAGATAGGTTTGCTTGATAGAGACAGGTTTAGAGCCAGTAGGGCGGTCTCGACTTAATAGTTGATTATTTAAAAATTAGAATGCTCTATTACAACCATCTTCAACAGCGAAACTTTAACTTAAGGGTCAACTCTATGACATCTTCAGTTAGATTTCACCTCGGCGGCATTCCTCTAAGTTCTATCTTAACACTATCTCTTTAACTTTTTACTGCAGGTATTCTATCTTAAAATTAATTTACTATCTTCCACTGCGCAAATGATACTGCTTTACAGTAACTTTTAGGGTTGCTTAAAATTTTTGTTAAGTACCTTTTTAACCTACTTGGAAAGATTGAGAGATCAGGTACTTGAGAAAGAAAGTTATAGTAATTGTGGATAAGGGCAAAACGCTTGTTAATTTGGATAGAAAAAATTAAGTATTTAAAAGTCATATTTTACAAAATTCACGCATTAAGTTCTGTTTTGTACCGTCTATACCCATATGTAAACAGAAAAAGCAAAATAGTGCTTTTATCAATAGTAAATTACGCTTCGCCTGCTTGGTTTACGGAAGTTTAAATTTCATACTAAGAGTGATAGTGGACGCTTTGCGATGCTTGTGGTTTGCAGACGGAAGCTCTTAATTTATACTATTTACTTTTTTGTCTCAACCCCACTAGAGTTAAAGACTTTATATGGGTTAGGAATAGAACTTACATACATTACAAGTACACCACTGTCCTAACCCTTAACAGACTTTAACGTAATTCCTGCTTAAACCATACATACGTATACATATACTATACTCGCTTACTATTTGCCTTCCCTTTATTTATGTCCATTTATTTAATTGATATACTTCAATCTTTATTGGACAGTAATACCTGTGTATTAATATAAACAAGTCTAGGGCTACGGGATCAGTAAGATAAAGATCTTGCGTTGCGCCATAAAGCGACCTCCTCGTGAAATACTATGATAAAACTGACTTCAGAGTTACAGATCGTTTAGGTTTTTAAAACCCTTCGTATTTTAAGCGGGACGAGTTCGCAAGTCCAAAGGGTTGTAAGTAAAGACTATGAAAGCGTTATGTAAAGTCGTTAAAAGTCGAAACAAACCCTTTTTAAAGTCCGGTTGGCTTTCTAGTCATGAATAGAGAAAACGGTAGTATTTATAACGAATATGGAAATCGAATTAAGCATAAATCGGAGACACACCCGAATATTGAGAAACTTTTAACTCTTAAAGCAGCGACTAATCGCTTGACAGAAGAGGTAGAGTTTACTACTTCTTTTATAAAAACAAACTTTATCAATAATAAAATAAGTCATCTTTATCAAAGTACGTCTACACAGACAAGTGCTTAAAAATGATATTGACTTATTATCTAGTAGAAAATGTCCCCTTCTCGAAGAATCTTTCCTACAACTACCGTCTCACCATTTAATAATATACGTGTTGGCTATTGGCTATAGTTTTATTCCAGTAAACAACTGTGGTCTCTCCATGAAGCCGTTTATTAGACCAAGAGTTTTATAAGGAAGCTTAGTTAACACTAACGCAAGATTTCAAAAAATAATATGTATAATACTTCAATCCGCCGGTAACAGCAATAAATATGTAACAACTCTTATTTTTGGGTTTGTGCTAAAAAAAAAATCACATTTAGCATACTACATAAAATATTATTTTCGATGAGGCTAAATGCCCCTTTCCATATAGTATTACGTCAACTAAGTAACTTGTTTATTATTAACACAATAAAGTTAAATCCTTTTACAACAAAAGTTTTTTCTGGGTTTAAATACAGTTTCTACGCAATCATAATATTAAAAAGTAGCAACGTCGTATGTATATTTTTTCACTGCATTATAATATCTATCAAGTCGTCGTCTTCCAATTGGGCTTCTAGCGGTGTGGACTGAGCAGGAAGAAGCGCTCCGTCAAAGTAAAAACTCAACCGTCCCACACCCACTGGAGGGTACAGAATAATAATTAACTTTCCTTTGAGGTTATAGAGAACTCTTGCTAACATGAAAAAAGTAGTGGAACGTGCTTACCATTCAGAAGCCCGCTAAAGTACCGATAGCACTTCTCAAAGCTTTGTTTCTAGTTGTTGCAACAAATAAACATCAAACAATGGATTAAAAAAATTTTAAATTTTAGAAATAAAATAGACCTTTTCCTGTTTGACTTTATATTTTTCTTCAGCAGTTCGAAAAATTAGTTTCACAACATCGCCAATTTCACATTCTTTTGACTGATTTTATAAAAGTTTAACATAAACGGCAGTCACTCTGACTCAATAAAACTCTTACAAGTGCTAAAGGTATGTCTAGTAATAAAAATATAAATAAATACAATTTAATTATGTCGGGTGATTAAGTCAAATGAAAACCCCTAACATCAAAGAATTCAAAGTTGCTATGAACATATTATTAACAATACATAGGTTATAGTAAGTAGATAACGAAACGCTAAAACTTTATATTTCATCCTCAATAGAAGTTTCACGACAAAGTCGCAGTTTATAAAACTTTAACAAATATTTTATAGCGAAGTAAAAAAACATTCTAAAGATGATAACGTAAACAAAAACGTATATTTGAATATAAAAGCGCTTGACTGAGGGAAATACCGGAGCTGGAAGTATCTAAAGTAGCTATCTCAAGTTCAAGTTCTATAATATAATAGAATGGTTATTAAAATGCAACATATGTAACAAAGAAACATAACAAGAGTGTTTAAAGATAAATTATATAAATACGATGTTAAGACGCATTATATTATAAGCAATTAAAATTTAAAATGAGCAATTACTCAAGGGAACATTGCCGCAATTTCTCAGCTTTAAAGAGAACGGCGTCATCCAACGATCAATTCGAGCCCCTGCAGTAGTAAAATAGTTAATAACATTTGCAATACAACTTTAATTGTCAGTGTAACAGTGAAAAAAAGACATTTAATAATAATAGACGGAAGAAATAAAACGTGAGTTCGAAAAAAAAGTGGCAGCCTTGAAGTGACAGTCAGATTAATTTTACACAATATGAAATGAGATCTGAGGCAAAAGAGGCTTGAATAGAGAAATAACGACAATTTTTCAAAGTAATTTTACTAAGTTCGATTAAAATAATATAAAAGTAATAAAAGTTTATATACGACCATATTTATTTTTTAAAACGAATTGTTTGTGTTGCAGGGCCGGAAATTTGCTCAGATTATCATATATTTTGGCAAAGGCATCAAACTGAAAGCGTTAATTATTTATTAATAATTCATACTATAATCATATAATAATATATAAAACATTATTTTAACCTTATATAAATTGTTAATAATAAAAAATCATATTCTAAGTCAAAATACAATTATGCTATATACAGTCAGGATGCGTCATGGGACCTTAATAATATAGACGTTATTCAGAAATAATTTAAACATCACAAAACAAATATTCTATATTTCTAAACTATAAATAAAAAAAAGTGTTAAGATGAATTTCATTAAGTTAAGGCGTATATGACGCAAAGCATGTACGGCTGATAGGCTACAGCTGAAGGTATCTCCAGCATAAAAAATTGAACATTCCAAAGCTTCAGGCTCTTCGTCTCCTTCAGCATCGTTAATATGCTGTTCAAAAGACAGTAAAGGCGCTTTACGTCTATGAAAAAAATTTCTTAAAAAATTTAGTAAAGAATGGCTATAAACTACCGATATGTAGACGAATATTGTCTTGAAGGTTGAATATGAACATTGCTTTCAGAAGTTAATTCCCTTAGTTGTCGGCTATGCTTATCACTAAAGGCAAATATATCTTTACCAGTAAATAAGATAAAAAAACATGATAAAATAAGAAATCGCTTAAAGTATTTTTCAACGAAAAAGACAGGTATTAAAGTAACTAAAAGATAAGCGATATAGTTACAGAATTTTTTTTCTCTCTAAATCCTCGTTGTTTGCATCTGAAGCATTATCAGTGTCAGAATTCAATTCAAGAAGTTCAGGGTCCGCGGAAGTTAGTGTACCGTATGACACTAAGTTTACAAGCACAAAACTAAATAATGGCTACACGAATACATAATTTCAAATTATATAACCCGCTCCAGGTCGGGTAGCTTTGCAGCTTGGTCGAAATTTAGCTGCACGGCCTTTACTTTTATAAGTTACAAAGGAATTCAAAATTTCCTTATTAAACTTATACAGCTCTTCAAAAACGCTTTCATCGCTTTCAGAATCGCTACTACTTAAAAGAGTTTCGGAGTTACTTTTTAATTTTTTTTTAGTTTTCTCAACAGCTTGAATAGGTTCTCTATCAGCAGCACGCAGCAAATTTTTCCTTTTTAAAGTAAACGGCTGTGTTTCATAGAACTTTTGTTGTTCATGTGAGTACTTTACTTTACAATTATTAAATGCTCTAAAAGAGTTTAACGTTATGCACTCTAAGGGTAAAGCTCCTTTATAAGTTAAAAGTTCTTCTTCTAGGTTCCTTTTCTTTTTGGTATTTTTTGAACTCATTTTTATAATTAATAATAAGTTTCTTTTTGATATCAGGTGCTTTTTAGTAACGCCCTTCCAGTAATATGTGTGAACTATAAAATTCTTTAAGTAAGGTATCTTGGGACCACATTCAAACTCTCGCACTTCATCAAATAACGCTTACAATATACTAAGTCAACAATATATAGAATGTATTACGAAGGTAATGAAGTTGTTTAAAAATTAAAGCAAAAGTAGTTTAAATAGAAAACGGGTTTGCCCTTAACACCTAAAATATAGTTAAACAAAAAGTTAGTACAGTTATTGTAATAAAAGAAAACGTAGCTATGTGAATAAAATAAAAAACAGCTCGCCAAGGCCTTTCGTTTGCACTAAGGTTACTGCATATAACTCCTAACTAAATATAGAAAAAAAAGCACATCACTTAACATCCTTTTAATGCACACTTTATCCAATACGAAAACAGATAAATTTTTTTTGTTTGTTTCTGTTGCATTGTCAATATTTTAAAAACACCTCATTAACCAAATGTAACTATTTTATTTTGTGCACAACTATATATATGCTCTAATTTCACTTTTGTTATAAGCCTGCTCTTTTCTTGTTTCTTGTATTTTTTTGTTGTTGTCACCCATTAATTATGTATGCAAATGCGTATTTAAAAGTATACCGTTTAATGAAAAAATAGTTTTGGTTTAAAGGCCATCTTCCAATATTATTTAGTTGAATTACTAATTAGGCAAGTCTTGAAGGAACCAAGTTTTCTAAGAAATACGTGTTATACTTTATTAAATAACATGAGAATAAATGTATATATATTTAATTTACCTAATAACACTCTTTTTTTTAACATGCGTGTACCAACAACAATTTACAGCCTAAAAAAAAAAGTGTGCGCAGTATAACGGTAAGCTTATTTAACAAAAGCTTTTAAATGTTAAATAAGCTATATAATTTATTAGTCATGGAGACCAAGTTTACCGAAATTTTTTACGATTTAAGTATGCTACTGTGGTTTATAGTTATCTACTAAAATAAACTAATTACACTTTTTGTTTAAGTTAATTGTTAATTACTATGAAGTATAAAAAAGTAAAAACATATAAACGGTTAATATGGGAGTTCTAAGTAGAGATTGCTAGTTGTGTTATTATTTATTGGATATGTTCTTCTGACGGATTAATAAGTCTGATTGCTTTCCCTGCTTTTTACTCAAAACTTATAAAACAAAGCCCTACCTTTTTTCAAGATGTATTACAATAAACCACTCAAATCACCTATAAAAATTTCTGGAAAGATTTTTATAATAGGACACTATTTATTAAACGAGAAACTACCTTGAAAAATTTACTGTAATTTTTTCTAAATAGTATTTACGACGCCTGCCTAATATTTCATTTCGAAGTGGATCCACCAACGTCGTAGAGGTTCATGTTTTATTTAAAATGTTTTTAAAAAGCCATTTGAGGATGACAATAACATTGTATCTCTAGATGATTTTTTACAAGAAGTTCTACCTACTACTCTTTTGTTGAGGTTTTTTCTGCGAAAGTAACACAATCACTACCTACTCGAATGGGTGTTGATAACACTATTTACAATTATGGAATTGGGTTCTAAACACACGCACATAGTTCTAATCCGATTGGTTAGACTATGTGCATTTCTTGGAAACACTTTTATTTCCGGAATATGATATTTATAAGTTGGACTGTGAAAGCTTGTATACAACTGGGATCTAAGAAGTGGGGGGCCCCCTTTTGCGTGCTGTACCTTTTTATTAGCCCACTGGCTACTGTTTTTATTCGTTTTCTTATTTTTTTAAGTTTTAAATAAATTTTTATCCATTCTTTTCCCTCCCAGAGATTTATTTTTACCGGTGATTTCTACCTGGCACCGGCATACTGGCCCACTGACTTGTTAAATCCGCAAATACTTATTACTTTTTAAATTAATTGCTGGTATTCTAAATCTGTTGATCTAATTTAAGAGGTTAGAGGTTAGATTTATGAATCCCCCTTAATATCGGGTAATAAACCGATAATAAGTTTATTTATAAATATTTTAAAACTTTGGGTAAATGCCACAATACACTACTTTTCAGAGGTTTAACTTATTTTGCTGCACATCAAATATATTTACAAATAAAAATTAAGTTTTTTTTATTAGTTCTTTAGCATTAAATTAAACACTAAAAAGTCAAGTAATATAGCATAAAAGTATGACCAAATTTTTTTTTTACACAGTTTCTGACTGCACTGGCTACATAAAAAGACTATATGTATCGATAACAACTTGAATCATAATTTCTAGGTAGCTTAACCTTAGTGGCATTACTCGTTAACTACAGAGGAAAGTTTCCCTAAAAGAGTGCTACGAATTTGTATAATAAAATAGCGCACAAAGTGTTAAAGAAGAGCAAACGTAAACAAGAATTTTTAAAATGAACACATGTCTACTAATCAATAAATTAATGCTGTGTGTATATTCTGACTTACTAACAAAACTATCAAGGTACCGAGTCCTAACCAAACAGGCATGTCCATAATAGCATAGTTAGACTATCCACGATTGTCTACTAGGAAAAATTTTTAATTGGTTATAGCTCTAGGTGCGTATGTTATTATATTAGAAATGATTAACCTTATGGTAATAATACTTGAAGATTTAATTTAGTAAAAACTATATAAAACTTTTTGACTCGTGTCATTCAAAATTTTCTACTAAATAAAGTCGATTTTAGATAAGGTTTTTATTATAAACAGCTACCGTAAGATTATCTGCTATAAGCTCATATACCTTGAATGAGTAGAGGTTCTTTTTTTTTCTAAATAATTTGTTTACATAACTTACAATTATTAATTTTAACTTAACCGTAATCTGTTAATATTAACTTTTTAAGTTTAGTTTACCTTTCCGATCCTGCGACAAGTAGTGTGTTCTAATGAGCTACTTTAGGCCTCCACGCTAGTAGGCTCTCAGTTTACGTCATTAATTTATTACATCCCAACCAACTTAGCGCTACATACTTCTGTCAGTCTTAAGAAGTCTTAACCTACTCAATCTAAATTCCATTAGGTTCGGTCTCCTACCAATAGTAGGGTTTGGTAAATGCTAAATATCTCTCAATGAGTTGGCTACTAGTACAGAACCCGAGGTTTTCTAATAACCTACCAGCTTTGTCGCCAGCCAGGTCTCTCTATTGTTACGTCATAACTTACTCGCCATCTAAGCCATATAGCTTGCCTACTGGTGGTCTAGAAGCAATTCTTAATTAAACTTTAGTTTTCCTCCTATGTATATAAGTTGAATTCTTATTTTATCTTAAACGACTCGCGTTATTGCTTCACAGTGAATGTAAATGCATATTAGAACGTTAGCCCGTCTACTATTGAAACTTTGTTTGGAATTACTGACTTCCAAGCAGTTTGCCTTCTAACGTGTTGCAGACAAGTCATCTACAAGGGAAGTAAATGAGTAGTTCATAAAATAAATGCTAAATGAAGTTTTTGTCAGGTTGTCGTCCACACTCTACAATTAGAGGATGACCAAGACAAAATTTGGCCATAACCATTTGATGTTACCAAATATTGTTTTCAAACTTTGTTTACGTATAAAAAATACGCGTACCGCTAGTTTTTTAACGAACTATCAGGATAAAAGATTTTCATAGTATTAAACACCAGTCATAATATATTAGATTAGCTGAGTTTTAATACCTGTTTGAGGGGCCATACTCTTGCTATGTGTGGAAAGTTTATAATTTAATGCTTTAAAAATTTTATTCTAAACCAACTAATTAATTCATCACGGTATAATAACTTCATCCTTTAAGCTTTTCTAAATTAACGAAGTTAGCTATAGTAAAATGATAACTACAGCTTTCACTATGTTAGTGTTTGGTGACTAAGGTATTATATCAGGCAACCTGTTTAAATAATAAACCAGAAAAAGTTTTGAAATATAATAGAACTAAACCTAACTTTACCAAGAGGAAGTCTCGAAGGACTTGCCAATGGCTCTTGCGTAAGTATATCGAATTGTATTTATAATAGTTTGTCCAAAGGTATGGTAGAGCATAAACTTTATAGGAAGTTTATCTAGCCTTAAAAATTGACTTTGGAACCTATTACAAAAACCTTAAGGTTGCCTGTTATAGGCTACTGCTACCGTCAGACTACTCTTATTGCCTACGCGACCATAATTGAATGCTACTCTATAACAATATGATATATGTATAATTTTGGGAAAAGAGGGCGGTAAATTCCTAGACAATAACAAAGTTACTGGCAAAAAAAACTTTAACCTATTGTAAAATAGGGACTATAAGATATAAAAGTAATTTTTTCATGTAAAAAAAAAGTATTTATCCAAATAGTAATTGTATTTAAAAATTACATTGAAACTTCGTAGAAACCTTAAAGAGAAGGAAGAAAAAATCATAGGTTTTGAATAGGTTTTATTTATATATCTTCCGCAAGATAATAAAAACTTAAAGTCCTTTAAATTATAAAATACTCTTTCAATTTGGTCTTGTAAAATTAATGAAAGATCATATAAACACGAAAAGCTTCCCTAAACAAACAAAAAGTACCTCTTGACTGGTAGATGGTGAATTTCGTGCTCGCGGGCCTCCCTTTTTTAACGTGGCTATAGCTTTCAGGAAACCTCGTATTATTAATTTTTTAAGGCTTTGTTATTACAACTGTTAATAACTACTTACAAACAAAAATTTTAAACAGTCGATGTCTTTTACTTTGAAAAGCGTAGGGGCTAATAAGGCTAAATGGCCTATACTTACCACACTCTCTCCTGGTATAAAACTTAAAGAAGTTCTGAATTTTAAACTTTCTGAAGATTCCAAAGAGGGAGAGAGGTAAGATTCTTATTTTTGTTTAATTTGTTTAGATTAAAATCATTCTTTAGCTCAATAGTTTCAGAGACCCCTTACTTTTTATATAAAGGGGATTATATTAGCGGTTCAGGAGAAAAATATTTAGTTGGACTTGTAAATTATCAAAAGGAAACTGGTTATGATATCTAAAGTTAACACTCGTACTATTAAAGTTTCTTTTTTGGGGGAATAGTGGAGATTGAAGCTTCAAATTTATACATGTTGACACAAGAAGTCAAGCAGCCCCAAGCTGTTACTCTTATTGCTTCAGATTCGGAAACAGATTATAATTCTGAGGATTTGACTGAAAATCCGAAAAAAAGTGCGTATAAGCGACTCAATGGCCAAAAAGTTTACCTTATTTTTACGGCTTTTATTGTTTTAATTTAAATTTTATAATTATTACAGGCTTCTCTAATAAAGGAATTCGGAGGAAAGCGTTCTAAACTATCACTAACCCATTCCCGGAATGATCGCATAGATCCCTCCAACATAATATCACCTATAAATTTTGAAAATCTCTTAGACGAGCGTCTCCAAAATTGTAATATTGAGGACCAACTAAGCCAAGGCGCCTGTCAATATTGTTGTTATACTTATTATTTTAGTTATTCTCTTTACTAGAGGCCTTCTCACATTTGTTTCCTTCAAGAAACTTAAAGGCCTCTAAAGTAGAAGATGTATATAAACTTGACGATTTTCTGCCTAAAGAGCTATATTCTTCCTTAGAACCGCCTTCGAAGGTTCAACCCTTTCCGCACCAAATATTTTTAACATTTATTTAAACTCGCACTCTTTTTTCTCTAATCTTTTTTCTAGAGTCTAGTCGAAAATTAAATACATCTAAACTTATGTTATTGCAGTTATTTTTAAAGGCCTCTTCTGAAGATTTAGAGAATTGGGCTTGCAAGAGACTTTATAGTCCCTTTATCATAGAGCAAGTAAACACTCTATCTTCGTTAGAACCCGATGAAAGGACCCAGAAAGCTCTTATTTTGGTTTACCTCAACCACTTGATAAATTTTAGCAGGTTTCTACCCGTATTTTCTCGCTCGTCGGGCCCTCGGTCTTTTAGTTAAGTTTATTTTTAAAAGGGGGACAGGTAAAGCTGCTTTGCCCGGTCCTCTATTATTCCATTTTCAGGACCGATTTGCCCAGTCTTCTTTTGATGATAGAGGTATTTAACTGACTACCTTTGAAATTATCAATGTGTATTTACTCTTAAAAAAAAACTATTGGGCTATTAAAATTACTTGCGTATATTACTTAAGGTAACATAGAGTACCACTTTGGAAGTTCTGATAAAGATAAGATCCACGCCCATCTCATTGTTCTCGGGCTAATAGCGAACAAGTACTGCCTAAATTATGAATCCCTACTCAAGTCTTTGTCTCTTAAAACAGTGAAACTATTTGAAATTGCGAAAGTTTTGAGGTTACGCAAGAATGAGAAGAAATCTCTACTCACACTTTCTCTACCTATAACTTTGCCTCTTAATAAAAAAAAGTATTACAGGCGCTAAAAAGACTTCTTCTATGCCTTATTTATAGCTTCCACTAATACCTTTAGTCTTGAAGCTAATAAAGAACTAACATATTAGGTTAAGCTCGTGCTTTCTTTGTTTGCTGTTGGCATTCTTTCTCTATTGAGCATCGTCATATTAGTCTGTATGATAACCTTAATATAGTTAATAAGTCTTCGTTCTTATAGGCTCTGCTTTCTAGACGAAACAATTATATTTGCCATGAAAACCAATAACATGAAACTTATAAAAGGAACATTTGAGTTATTAGACATATTAGACTTATAACTTAAAGGCTTAATACTACAAGGAGATCAGATTAAACATACTCTTCGTTTATTAACTGAACATTAATGGCTACCATGTACTCTTCAGCAAAAAAGGCTTGGGAGCTATGAGGGGCAAAGGTGTGATAATCATATATGTAATTTAATTTAAAAAAAATTATTTGTGGCTTTTGTAATATAAATGTCGGCCTGCTTCGAATTTTTTGCTAATAACCTTATTTAGGAGCAATACTTTTTATAATTATAATATTCACAAGATTGCTGTGGGTGCTGTTTGTAAGTGTTATCAATTAGCCAATGGACGACTGACTTTTTTTATTATTTAAAAATAACGTTTCCTGGTACTCGATTAATATAGCAACTTCAAATCCCGGAACTTTCAGGAAGATTTAGTCAACCATTCCTTAGCGTTTAATTTTATACCCCCACCCCCTCCCCCCAACTTAGCTTTAACCATTCTAAGAGCGCATCACGCGGACAGCGATATTGCGCGCTTCCTAATAACTCGTGGATGACTTAATAGACGATGATTGACGTGTCCAGTTGCGATGACCTTGCTTTAAAAATTATTAAACTATAGTTCGGGAACAACTCACAGTGGGTTTTATTATAAAACGTAGCAGTTTATTTTGTGCTTTCTAAAGCAAGGAGCTCGCTATTGCTAATAGATTGTAGGCCCAGGTAACAGAGTGTGAGTGTAATAATCGACTTGATAAAATAACACTTACAGCCTTAATTTTATTTGCAATCTAAAGTCTTTGCTCCACAATGGAGAACATAGCGTATATGGGTGACTGCTTTGACCTCTGTCAACACGTAATTATCTTGCGCATGCCACAACAGCTTAGAATTTTTGATGACCCATAGGTTTTTCACTTGAGGGCACCTTGAAATTATTTCCATGAAAAGTCGACTGTGTTGGCAGGCGAATGCGTTTCGCCGTCTTACAGGGCATATGCCTCCTAACGGCTATTAATGTGCTGAAAGAACTGCTTGTCGGATCAGTTGCTTGCCCTACTTGAGTTGGGCGACGAAAAGAAAGTATTAAAGACATTATCACGTCTTATACGAATTGGGGCAAACTTACCGAAATGCTCGAGAAGGCACTCCCGTCCTACCCGATACTACTGGAAACTCCAGCTTTGGTGAACAGTTCTGTTGCCTGCCTCGGACGTGCGGTGACAGAAGTTCACGTCAACGCAATGAAAACACGTGAAATTACGCACCTCCCAACACCATCTTCTGAGAAACTAAAGGCGCTTATATATAAGCGCTGGCGCCTCAGTCGAGTGATCATGGTTTTTTAATGCGTAAAAGATAAATTGGCGCAAAATCCATCTTCACCAGAACATCAGAGAAAAGCTGGTGGCACGCCTAAACAGTCAATGGGATAACAAATGGAGCGAAGTGTCGGAAGCTGGTGGCAACGGTCGCACTTCCTAATGGAAGTTCTTCAAACGAGTCAGAAATAGCGGAATCACTACTTTGTGACGGCGGTACTATCACCAAAACCGATTAAGATAAAGCGGAACTCTCGACTAATCATCTAGCTGCCCAAGAACCGCCTACCTCCTCAACCGTAATAACGCGCCTCTTCTCGCTATACCAACTACAAATTTATAGAATTGGTATGGGATAACTTTATGCATGCTGAGCTAAGAAACCTGGAAAGACACTATGTAATAGATTGGTAGGTAGCCTGATTTAGTCAAGGAGACTAAAAAATTAGATTAAATAAAAACTGTATGAGAAAGAAATAAGTTACAACCGTCTAGATAGATATAATTTGTTAAAAAAAAATTGCTCGATACAGTAGCCCTGTTTAAAAAGGTCAAGTTTTATTCTATCAAGACTTGTGTAAAAACTCGAGCTTTAACGACAACTGCAGAGCCACGAAGGTGGAAGGTGCCTGTCCTAAAGGCGTTGCTAATCTGATGTTAAAGCGAATGCAGGCTTTGGCTGTAGATTATCAGTGTTACCTTGTCAAGCTGCTGACCTTCAGCTTTTTTCCAATGCGAAGGAATATGGCAGTAATCGTGAATTTGTTAAGACTCCGCAACTAACCACTGGCCCCGCCATTATATACTCATCCACCTTTGTCGCCAGTTGTTAAGGTAACTAGAGCAAATATACTAAACAGTTTAAAGGGAGTGGTGGTGTTTGCAAAGTTTTACAGGTGTTTCAGTTTGGATTTTAATAGGGATATTCAACAACTTAACTAATTTTTCGGCTAACAAGGTTAAGACGGTTAATAGTTAGCTTTTCAACCATCTGCCCTTTCGATAACTTACAAATTTATTTTAAAAAAATTACTTTAGTTTCCTAATTGATTCAATTCATTAGTTTATCTTAGATTATTATAGCTTAAATGTGATCCCATGTTTTATAATGTAATTTTCGTTGGTACATAGATATTTTTAAGATTAGAGAACTTCGAAGGTTTTTTATTATTCCTTCTTTGGCCCCTTTGTGCTTCAGGTACGAGCTAGCAATTTAATGGAGGAAAAGAGTTAGAATAAAGGAAAACTACAGGTAAACTACGTAGCTTTTTTATAATAAAATTTTAAAATTTTAATTTAAACTAATATAATATAATATAATATAATATAATATAATATATAATAAATTATAATATAAAATTTAATGCAACTAATATAATAAATAATATATAAAAATCAATCTAAATTTTGGCTGAACGTTTTCTTTGGCAATTGACTAGGGCCTTTACAACTAGGATTCTCGGATCTGTTACTCTCTAGGCTTAATAACTTAGTAGTTTGGTTGCTACTTTGCCGTCCTAAGGTGGAATAATTCTAACTTTGATCGGCAAAGTAATTAATTAATTATAATTTGAAGATTTAGAAGCCAATGCGGATATATTGTTTTATCTGTTTTGATTACTAATAGACTAACCATCAGATTAAAGTTACTAAGTTACGATATAGACTAAGTTCAAATTAGCAAACATGTTTCACCCAAGCACTTATAATCAGAAGGGATTCGAGAAATATGTACAAATTATCTCTAATAACACCTGACGAGATGTTCTTAGTACAAGGGGTTCACATATTAACCCTTTAACTTATCGGGCTAATTTACATAGCTTAGATAACTGTTTACATATTTACGTATCTAGAACCGAGCGAGTTAGGAATTTAATCTTAATTATTTTACATTTTGCGTTCTACTTTGGTAGAATAATCTATTATGGTTTCTAGAGTGGTAGTTAGTTTTATTCTACCAACGTGGAACCTTAACTATTTAAAATTTGGCGCTAGCACAGGCGAAGGAATAACCTAGTGACAATTTAGTATCACTGATATTTTTCTTAAGGTAATATAGCTGAATACTTTAACTTTATATTGGTCTATATACCTCACAAGATTTTAGACAACGTCCAAGCCGAAACCAAAAGTCCACCCATTAAGTAGCCGCCCTACGCAGTTGCCCTCCAAAAAATTAAAAAAGGTCTTTTTACAATAAAAACAGTTTCTTATTTACATATTCTTTATATTCTTTTCTATTATTTTTTATATAAATTCTAATGCATTGTTGTAGGTCAAATGTATCAATCAGCTTAGAACAATCTTCTGACTACATATTTTGTGTCTTCACGTTCAGCTTCGTAAGGATTTTTTGTTGTTAATTCTGACAAACCAGGTGCTCACACCCCCTTACCACGTGGTTTCTAGTCTAGATATCACGCGTCATATCACGTGTTTCATTCCTATTCTTCTGCAGTACTTCACCCAGGGGTTGCTATCATCGGATTAATTTTAAAAAAAATTGTTTAAATTGCCACTGTTGGTAGTTTTCTATGGAACTTGTTGTCATCAGCATTTAAAGTGCTTAAAACGAAAACCCTAGAAATATTGTTGTCTATCTTATGTCTAACCATATCATCACTTATTGCAGACTTGCATTTATTAGCTAAAGTTTCTTCTATTATCATGGACATGATTTATGATATATCAGGTTCCAATAAAGCCGCAGACCGACATTGACCTCTTTTATTTTTTTTTTTTGCGACTCTGCTAAGAGCTTCTTTATTTAAACCGAGCATATCGAGTTAAACCTAAAATTATATATTTTGTTGCACTAATATTACTAGTAGTTATCGTAATTTTTATCTAATAAAAATTGCGATATTTACTAATGAATTTTTTTAACAGTCCCAAAATTTAAAGAGTCTTGGTCGACTTGGCCTCAATGTTATGTTTTAGATAAACTGTTTTCATAGAAAAATTAGAAAACACAGTGCAAACGCAAAAAGTATCTTTAAGTATATATAACACCACACCACACACGAATGATTTAGTTTGGATATTGAAAAAACAATTATTTAAATGCAAAATACTGATAAAATGTTACGCTGGTATTAACGTAAACAGTTTCAAGTAAAATATTTTTAATGGGAGTAATTTGAAAAAAATAATACGAGAAGACATACGTTTATACATAATATTTAAGAAACTGTCGGTGTGAAAAACGATGTGTAAACATTTACTCATTTTTATTATAATTATTTATTGTGGTATGAAAAGACTTAGAGCAGAAAACTTTGACTTTTTATTCTTTGTTCCGTTCTACTTTGGTAGAATATTTAACTAGCTAACATGTCTAGACTGTTAGTTAGTTGTAACCTTATCGAGCATCAGGTGAATTAACCAACCTTTTCTCTCGACCTTAGTAGTTACACTTCATGATGTCAAGTTGCTAACTACTTCCTAACTGCTCTAACTAAGAGCTAATATCTAATCATTTGAGAGGGACTTAGTATTGAGGAAAGAAACGTCCAGAGCTAACGCTTAGACAAAATGATCAATTTAAATTAAATCTAAGCTGATATAGTTAAACCTTTATTGAGGTCAAGCTACTCAAGAGAGAACTAGGATATGGAAACCTACTGTTAAGTAGATGTGAAAGAGAACCTTCTGGGAGTGAAATAGATTATGAAACCTGGTGCTGAGGCGTAGGCTATCTAACGTGATGAGCTCCTACTACCTTATTACTAAACTTATGAATTAAAATATGATCTACCTTCTCTTAAGAGGATTAATACCAATTTTTGTAACTCAACCTTATTGGAATATAAACATAATAAAAAAACTAAATATAAACATAAGAAAAAACTAAATAGAATCAAATAAACTAACCGTATAATTCGGAGCCATCTGCTCTTTAGCTAGGAGCTTTCTATCTATATAACATAAATCATAGAGGGTTACTTGACTCCACAAGATTAATAATAACTTGATAAACCTGTCATACTATCTTCTAAGTTAAAAACTTGGTTAAATAACAAACAAATTTAATAAACTAACCTAGTTATGTATAAATCAACTCGAGTTGAATACAATCAAGTTAATGTAATGAAATTAAATCTAATCAAACTCAATATCAGTTAATTATTGAGCTTTTTATTTACATCAAGTTAAAGGCTGCATTCAATCATACGATCCTTCGTTAAGCTTTAGTACATTATTCATGTGACGTTACGATTACTAATATTGTCGCAAGGTCCGTTAAACAAACCTAATATATAGCGGCCTAGGTAGATCTGTTGTAGTTAACTACTCTGCACTATCAATTTCAATTAACGAATACAGCTAAGTTACTAGACTAAAGTTATGTTCTGTGAATAGCCAAGACGAACGACGCTAGAGCAACCATTGTAATGCAATTTAAATTAACATAATAAATAAATTAACTTGGTTAAATTTTAAATGAAATACAAATTAAACGTAATAAATAAAATCTAATAATTTTAACATAATACAAACAATAAAAAAAAACATAATAAACATAAAATGTAATTAAATACAATGAATAAAACTAGATTAATTAATTTTTAAAATGAAAATATCATTTTTACAAAATACTTATGTGCAAACAGCTTTGAACTTTGGTTTCATACAGTCATGTAAGTAAAATAAAATATAAATAAAATATTAACTTACGATTAAGAATCTAACTAAATTGTTAACCATAATCACGATCCTAGGTTGGCACCTTAATTAAA